TGTGTGTGTGTATGTATGTATTGGCAGCAAGAAGTGAAAAGCATCATGATCATCATCAGCATCTTTGTTTATGAAATGAAACTCTGGTGGATGGCCAAGGAACTGGAGGAACAATTTTGTTGATCATAGACTTCACCGGCTTCACAGCCTGGTTTCTGCACCCTGAGGTCGTATGCTGGAGGGACCGCTCCGCTCTCCAGCCCTTCGGCTTCATCCTAGCATTTGAGGTCGTCTGGCTCACCCAAAAACTCAGACTTTTTTGGTGGAAAGCAGCACGCTTGAGTACATCATCTTCTTGCTGTACGCTATGCGGCATTGCGGTTTAGCAGAATCATGAAATGTAGTGGATGCCCAAACCACTGAACATGTTTTGCGTCCAACGCGTTGAAAATTGCGTGCTCACCACTTCTCATAGATTCTGCGAAGCTTAACATGATGAGTTTGCACACTTGGATGTCTGATCCTTACTGTTTATTGGCCCAACTGAATGCGTAATAAATACCTTCCCCATCTGACCTGACATCTCTGCAAAGCTCCAGCAAAGCCAATCATACCTTCGCCACGTACCGCCACACCATCTAGGCCGTAGCTGACCTCGATCAGAACATTGCAGGCTCCATTCCATGTCTTTTTGATGAGTCTCAGCAGCAGGCGTCAGCGTATGACCAGCCTTTGAAGAAAGGACTCGCTGCCTTGGCCACTGACTCAACATGAAAACTGCAAGCCATGGGTCCCAATGAATGCGACAACTATTGAATGTACCGGGCGCCCTGCTGCAGTGAAGTTGCCGGCAGAATAAGAAGTTACATCGCTTACAAAGTAGCGATCATTCACCTGCGCAGTTGCCTTCGAGCGATACGAATCCCTGCTCTTCTTCTTGCCTTCAGGGCGGCAGCATGTTCTACATGCGATCAGCACAACCAAGCTTGGACTCAATTCTTATGCCTCCACCCTGCCCATCTGTGGCCGCCAAATAAACTGCCGCAATGGTCACAAAAATGCCGATGCCATACACAATGTACTTCCTGATTGGCTGTGCCACTGAGGGGTGCACATGCATCCACTTACAGTCTTGCTAGAAAGACCGTGAGCGGCAAAAAGAATAGAAAATAGTAACTAGACGACGAGTGGCCCGAAAGCATTTTTCATCACGTAGGAAGTCAGAGTGCGAGTTATCCGGTAAGTGTGCGGTGTGAAGTGTTACGTAGGTTTCCTGCTAGTAGCTAGTAGCTTAGTGGCTTCAGCTAGATGTCCACACGGCATGAACATGTGAAACATGTGACGTGAACGGGTCATGGAGATTCTCGGTTGCGGAGAGCGTGCCCAAATTGGAGAGATAAAAGGTGCCCATCATGATGTTCGATGATCTAGGTCATCGACATAGGTGGAGTGGAGTTGATTCGGCGAAACGAAACGAAACGAAACGAAACGCGAAACGAAACGCGAAACGAAATACGAAACTAAACGAAGTCGAGTGAGTTGAGGTAGTGTGTGGGTTTCTGTGCGTGTGTCTATGTCCGTGTGGAAATGAGTCTGCGTATGTGTGTGTTCGCGGAAGTTGAGGGAGTGTGTGGGTGTCTGTGTGTGATGCGGCCTCCCAAACCCCCCACCGGCGGCCAAGCGGTGACAGCCCAGCTCATCGTCGTGAGCATTTGGGCTGCTGGTAAGGGGACAATGGCAGCCAGCGAGCTGGCTTACCCACTTCAACTATGATGGTAGCCAGCGTGCTGTCTTTGCCATCTGGACAATGGCAGCCAGTGTGCTGGCTTACCCACTTCAACTATGATGGCAGCCAGCGTGCTGGCTTTGCCATCTCAACAATGGCAGCCAGCGTGCTGGCTTACCCACTTCAACTATGATGGTAGCCAGCGTGCTGGCTCATACCCACTGCAACTATGATGGCAGCCAGCGTGCTGGCTTTGCCATCTGGACAATGGCAGCCAGCGTGCTGGCTTACCCACTTCAACCATGATGCTAGCCAGCGTGCTGGCTTTGCCATCTCAACAATTGCATCACCACATGCCGCACTGCAGACTGAACAATAACGTGTGAATCATCTGCCTCTGGTCATCCTGGTTGACGCTGAAGAAGCGGTCGTCAACAATGCCAAGGTTCCCTGGCATGATGGCTGGGCAAAGAGGAAGACCTACGAGCTAGTGGGCTGCAAAGTAGTAAATAGCGCATGCATAGGCATAAGAAGGCTCTGGTTCATGTGCGATATGAATATTGCAAAAGCTTGTGGGTTGCGTGAAACTTCTTCCAAGTATATTCGTCACTGCTGTTGAGTAGATATTTTGGTAGTTAACCAACCACTATGCTTGTCATTGAGTAATTGACTGTCTCAGAGAAAAACGCGACAAAGTAGCGTGAGGTGACACACAGCAGGCACTGTAGATGTTTTAGCGCACTCTCGCTGTTCGGCTCGCGACTAGTCTTTGTACACAGCAAGGATAGCGTTGTGCTTCCGCAGAACGACGTGCACACAGAATTTATCAGGAAGAAGTCACGGTATGAGACACACAGTTGGTTGGGTCTAGCGCGTCCGCCCGAAGCAGATCTGGATGGCGTAGGCATCTGTGAAGTTGCGGCTGTTGTTCCTCACCAGTCGCGCCATCCACTGGACCACTGGACCACTCGCCAAAACTGCGATGTTTCTCCATGGGCAACCCAGTATCTGTTTGCTATGGACTGGTTTGGCCATCTTGCATGGATGAGCTCTGGGTGGTCGTCATGGTATGTCCTGCTTCCATAGGACCAACAGAGGCACACCTGTCTCTGGTCATCATGGGTGACGCTGAAGAAGTGATCCTCAACAATGCTAAGGTTCCCTGGCATGATGGCTGGGCAAAGAGGGAGACCTACGAGCTAGTGGGCTGTAAATTGGTAAATAGCACATGCATAGCTATAAGAAGGCTCGGTTTGCCTTGTAAAGGTTTATGTGGGAAATGAATATTGCAAAAGCTTGTGGGGCGCGTTCAAACTTCTTGCTAGTATATTCTTCATTGCTGTTGAGTTGATATTGTGGTAGTTGGCCCAAGTTGTATGGAGACTTCTGCAATGTCACTGTGAGCACCGAAAGGTCAGCCACGGAAAATGCACAGTCTGTTGGCACAGGCGCTCTGAGGGTGACATGTGCTTCGCTCTAGATGTAGTTAAGAACCACTATGCTGCTCATTTTCCAATCGCCTCTCCTACAGAAACATGCAACAAAGTAGCACGAGGTGACACATAGCAGGCACTGCGCATGTTTTCGTGCGCTCTGGCCGTTCAGCTCGCGACTAGTCCTTGTATATGGCAGAGACTCCCCGACACAGCCAGCGTGCTGGCTTACCCACTTCAACTATGATGGCAGCCAGCGTGCTGGCTCATACCCATTTCAACTACGATGGCAGCCAGCGTGCTGGCTTTGCCATCTGGACAATGGCAGCCAGCGTGCTGGCTTACCCACTTCAACTA